AGGGGCATTCCCAGTTTAACCTACTTACTCTCCAAACTTGGGGTAAATAAAACTTCGCATTATAATTATTATTTATTAAAAGAAAATTGAACATTTCAATTTCCATGATCCATTAGGAAATTATTAATAGCACTTGCTAAGTTTTGTAAAGGAATTAGCAATAACTTTAGTGTCACTTTGGCAGTTGCCAATTTATGGGGATATTTCCGCATTGCATGACATGGACCATTTAAATAATATCTTAGTTTGATATTGCGATTATCGAGTCACTCTGAAACAAATTGTGTCTAACTAGACCAAATGTAAACAACAGTTGTGCATGGAACTGGATTGGATATCTACATGAATTTAGTCGAAATTGCATAGTGAAAGGTCATTTCATAATAAATTACTGATATAAACTCATACTTCATACAATTCTAAGTTCTTATGTACATGTTCAATGTTCATGATTCGCTGTAGAATAAAGGGCGGTTCACAAAACCACTTTTCGTTAAAATAATTAGATATCACCTCTAATTAGTTGCTCTATAGGATCAGGAACAACCAAACAATTTTTTGTGTCTACGTTTTCGTATAATACTGACTTGGGCCACGCCCATATTTTTCACCAATTTTTAACAGGTAAAATGCTCTAAATCGTCAATTTAGTCACGAAGGAGTTTGGAAGGAGTTCTAAATGTGTGCTCCTCTAATATAAACAGTAGGAAATGGTTAACTTTAGTCGAGGTTTCAGGTCTCTACAATGTTGGGAAGTTCCTGCAGGAATTTGCGCATTGCGCTGAAGCGCAAGATTCACTGCGCCAAAAGCGAAGGTCGTAGAGACATGAGACCTTGACTAAAGTTAACCATTTCATACCATTGCTATCAGAGTATGTCACTTTCAGAGTCCTGAACACACTCCTACAGCTCTTAATCGTCAATTATATGAATTTTACCTGTTAAAATATATTATCATCTTTAACTGATATCAATTTAGTTTAAAACACTGTTAGTTTTAAAAAAGAACATAATACTTCACACCAAACTAACGCACAATATGATAATATAAAAAAGGAAGGTTTTCCTTGGTTTCTGAATTCAACTTTGATTATATCCTGGCACTGATTATCATTTCTCGATTGTTCTCCATTTTCCAATGCAGTCAGCAAGTTCCAATTTAGGTAGACTAGGTTTTCTAATCTTCATATTATGTTCAGAAGCAGGCCAGAAGGGGTTGTTACCAGAGGAATATCTTCTTGGAACAAGGAATTAATGAGGTCTTCATTTATTTCTTCATAACTCGTCACTGACAGTCCGGACAGGATGAGCATTGACGAGATCCACTGATTACTTCATAGCTCGTCATTGATAGGATCAGTATTAAATGAGGTCGAATGATTACTTTATAGCTCGTCACTATCTGGATCAGCATAACATGACTAATAACTAACGAGGTCCAGTGAGCTCTTGCTGATACGTCAAAACAAGATCAGTAAATAGCTATAAATATCGAAAAAAATTAGCTTAGAAATTACAGAGTACAAATGCCTTCTTCACAACTAACTCTTTGGCCTCATCTTTTTAAATCACTCATTCCCTCTGAAACAAGATAATGCTTAGGACTAGGAGGAACTTAGTTAACTTCTTGTATAATTCGGTAAGAGGAAAATTCCTTAGTAAGCTAAAATTCTTTTGTAGTATGTTACCACTTATCATATCTGACCTCCCGACAATTGACCCCCCGACAATTGACCCCCCGACAATTGACACCCCGACAATTAACCCTGACCCAGACCCTGACCCTGACCCTGACCCTGACCCTGACCCTGACCCTGACCCTGACCCTGACCCTGACCCTGACCCTGACCCTGACCCTGACCCTGACCCTGACCCTGACCCTGACTCTAACCCTAACCCTAACCCTGACCCTAACCCTAACCCTCACCCGATTAATTTACCCTAGTTTAATTACAATTGTGGGGGGTCAATTGTCGTACTAATCCCTAGATTTCGCGACAATTGACCCCAGTGTAATTACATAGGAGGTCAACTGTCGGGGGGTCAATTGTCGGGGGGTTAATTGTCGGGGGGTCAATTGTCGTACTAAACCCTAGATTTCGCGACAATTGACCCCAGTGTAATTACATAGGGGGTCAATTGTCGGGGGGGGGGTCAATTGTCGCGGTACCCACAACTAGACCCTCTTATTCTGGAGTCTTGACAATGACAGCAGCAATGCACACTATTTTGATGGTCCAGGTCTCCAAAAAAACCTTCCTCTTTATATTCTCGTATTGTGTGTTAGTTTGGTGTGAAGTATTATTTTCTTTTTTAAAGCTATCAGTGTTAAACTAAATTGATATCAGTAAAAGATGATATATTTTGACAGGTAAAATTCATACAATTGACGATTAAGAGATATGGGAGTGTGTTCAGGACTCTGAAAGTGGCATACTCTTATAGCAATGGTATGAAATGGTTAACTTTAGTCAAGGTCTCATGTCTCTACGACCTTCGCTTGCGGCGCTGTGAATCTTGCGCTTCAAGCGCAATGCGCAAATTCCTGCAGGAACTTTCCGACATTGTAGAGACCTGAGATCTCGACTAAAGTTAACCATTTCCTACTGTTTATATTAGAGGAGCACACATTTAGAACTCCTTCCATACTCCTTCGTGACTAAATTGACGATTTAGAGAATTTTACCTGTTAAAAATTTTTGCCGAGATTTACCTCATTTTACCTCATGAGGCCAGCCAAAAAAGGCAAAATTGGGATGAGGTAAAATGAGGTAAAATGAGGTTGACCCCCCCCCCCCCCCCTAATGAGCTTATATTAGTCAGACGCAACTTTTGGTACCAAAATTATAATATTTGAAGCACCAAATTTTTCAAAAATTTGTTCAAAATTTCTTGCTACACGTTGTATACCTCTCGTGCACGCCGTCCGGCCGGCCGTAATCAAAAGGGGTTGCAGCGTGTGTCAAAAAATTTCACACAAAAAATTTCCCTTGTGTTCAGATTGAAAAATTTATAAAAAATAATTTTCCTTTAGATCTTAAAATTTTAGTACTTAAAGTTTCGTCTCGATGAGCTGATTACGATACCATAATAATTATGTGATAATAACTGAAAATGTGAAAGTTATAGGCCAAAATCTAAAAATTTGCGCGAAAAAAGCACGCGCGGCGAACAAGCGCCGTGTAGCATTTTTAGCGAAAATTGCTACACGGTGGATTTATTTTATTCACATTTTTAGACAAATTTTGGTACCAAATTTATCGAAATCGGAGAAAAAAAGTTCTGTGCTCGCGCTTGGCGCTTATTACACTGACTATATGGACTTTTGATTCACGATGTCAATCCTTCGCATCTCGCCGATCTGCATATGTGGTTGCGAGAAGCATTATTTGATGCGCGCGCGACCCAGTAGTGCATTGCGCTACAATATGGACTTTTGAAGGTAGATTCGAAGTCAGCGTCCAAAAGTACATCGATTGAAAATTAATTTCGTACCCTCAGGACAGCGTTTTGTGTTTCGCAAGCTAGATTCCTGATTCACTCGAAGCAGATACGTTAGCAGTTTGGGCTATGTTTGGTCAATATAAATAGGGGTAAAATATTTTTCGAAATTCTATCAATATCATTGATTTGTTGTTTGTTAATGCATAGGCATAATTTTAAGTTTAAGTAAAGATTAGATCAAGCTGAGTTGAACAAAACAAATTTGACGAGATTTTATCATAAATGTCAACTTCTGATTGTCGTTCATTTGATCCCAAATTACTTCAAAATTTTGCTCTTAGTTTGTTTGTATTGTCAATTATTCAAGATATAATGCAGTGCATGATCTGAGCGGAACTGAAACATGACACAGAAGCTTACTCACAAATCCACTAACAAAGTACAGTTAGCAGTAAATCAGTGTGCTCTACATTCTACAGCACAAAGGATTATCAGCATAGTATTAGTAAGGAGTCAAATGTAACCACTAAGTACAAAACACAAAACACCAAGTGTACGGCGGTAATAAACTGCAAGAAGGGTAATGGGAGCTTTAACCCAGGTCACTAGCAGCATGATCATTCGACACCTGTCAAGTACTGTAAGTGTAACGGCCGTTACGACGAGTGTAACAATGAAAGTGTCACAAAAGTTACAAGATTGAATGTCTTACTAATTAATTACTCCGCAAGGTGGCTCGCATTGTTGGTTGTGTATCCGGTCATGCTTCACTGTACTCGGCATTCTTTTGATAAACACGCAAAATGTCACTGCCATCTCAAAATTACAACAAATGTTTGTTATGTAGTCGTTGCATGATTCTATTGTCCTCTTTTGTGTTTGGAATTCTAATACATAATAACACACTCGATCATCACAAATCACAATCCACCGCTATTATATTATGAAATTAAAGTGAAACCCAGAATTTATGCAGTGTACGTTGTACAATGTACATGGTTCTTCTCTTAGTTACTTAATTTCACTATTGGATGCCGAAGTTGACAGTAAGGTAACCACTGATCCTAGCATACCACACCACTTACAAGTACAACACGACCAATGCTGGCAGAATGTTATTGATGACTCATACATCAGTATCACGTGACTAACTGTCGGAGAAACCGTGTACTTACTCAAAGCAGGGTGATACAGACTTGAGTCTACGACAGTAACGAGCGTATTGTCTAACAATAATCTGACTAATGCAACAACAAACAGCACTTCAGCTTACAGTTCACTAAATGCAGGAGCACTGGCGACATCCTAATGAGATAGTTCCATGCCTAATTATGGTAATTGATTCTCTACAGGCACATATTATTCTCCCATTACAGTTAATTACGCTGCCATTAAATTGAGGTGTCCGCTCCGAATTTTCCGGGAAGTTTGTCGTGACAGAGAGCCGATTTTAAGAAAATCAATTTAAATTCATTAGAAGAACGGCGATTTTACGCCAAAATGCTCGATCTATAAACGGTAGATGTTTGATAAGGTTCAAAATAAAACAAGACAGATTATATGGCATGACTTAAACAATAAAATTTGGTTGATTTTCCAGTCAGTATACAAAACGTGTATCATACATCTAATAACTAGAACAGCGAAATTCTGAAATTCATCAAAAAATTTCTACACACTATTGCAATAAATAAAGTGTTCCTAAGTAACTCCATGACAAGACAAGACTTCCTCTCTTAAAGTGGAAACAAGAAATATCCATTAGCAAGCCTCGTAAATACGGAGCTGGGCGTATAAACTTGCTAAAAGCAGCGTGAGGTAGGCTCGCTTCCCTCCCTGAATATATCATAATGTATGTTACTCAAATTAAATGGCAAATGAATTCAGCGAGGTAGTAATTGAGTGTGTGTATGTGCGAGCGTGGTTGGCCGGGTATAAGTCTGGGTTTATTAGGTTTAAAGAATCGCTAAAAGCCTGAATCTCCGTGCTACACTTAAAGTCTGACGCAAAATATATTCCGGCATCAACAAAATAAGACTTTTTAGGACCATACGATTTAATATAAATACTCTGCAACGTACAGATTGAACATCAAAGTCACGATTTAGAGATTGTTGTACATTCTTGGAGCTGAGGTTGAACAAATATCAAATTAAGCCATTAAGGGAGTTGTAAGTAGAAGCAATCGTTACTGAAATGAATATCAGAAATGCTTATATCATTTAAAATTAGTTGATGCTTGTACAGACAAGCCATTACTCATTAGCCCATCTAACTAAACCCTAATTAATACTCTGCTTATTAACATTTAACAACTTATATATTTAATAACCAATATCCTAATCTGCCATCATAAAAACATCGTTATAGTTATAGTAAAATTTTAAGTATACCAACCAATGAATTAAAATGCTGCATTCACAGTCCTATGACCCCTTTTCCCAGTGTTATTCAATATCATACTGACTGATCATTGCCTGTCTATTGCTCTTCATTTCAGCACGTGCAAACAAAGCCGCGCACATCACCACCACCTTTACGTAGCTTTCTCAATCGTCGTCTATCACGCGTTATCTCTAACGTTTCATCACGTAGCTTGTCACGCAAATCAGCTCATTTCCAGAAAGTTGAAGTTGTCAGGCTGGGCCGGGTGTTGTGGGTGGCCAGGATGTGACGTTTGTTGTTGCAGCTGTTGCTGCTGCTGAATTATCTGTTGGTGTTGGCTGAAGATATTCATGCTCGGTATGCCCCATTTATCGGGTTCGCCCCCAACTGAGATGGGAACGTCTGTCATCTCCCCTTTTATCAGCTTCTCTTTTAGCATCTGCGCAGAGTGGGTCTCTGGAATGATGGATCATTAGTTAACATCATACTTGCAAATATATGCATACTTCATAAGTATTCAAAAGGACTAGACTAGTATTCAACAATACCCATGCTAGACAAAGAGGTACAAAATCACTCCCACCCCAGACTATCGGGGCAATTGACAGAATGAGATGCTATTTAACAGAAGCCGGACTAGACACAATACCAATAGTATTTAAGTATATTGACTATTCAGTACTATCGAGATGCCCATGTGTAGAGAATTCACAAATGAATACGCGAAATTCATCTGAACTTACCAGCGATACCGGCGATGACCCTGCTAAATACGCTAATATTCATCTGAACTTACCAGCGATACCGGCGATGACCCTGCTAACTAGAACTTACCAGCGATACCGGCGATGACCCTGCTAAATACGCTAATATTCATCTGAACTTACCAGCGATACCGGCGATGACCCTGCTAAATACGCTAATATTCATCTGAACTTACCAGCGATACCGGCGATGACCCTGCTAACTGGACTAGTCGAGGAGGCTACTGTTGAGATAGGTAGGTCTGACGGCTTCTCGTCCTTCTCGCTCCCACATGGACTGATCACACCGACCTGGCAGATATCTCGGGTTAGTTATAGGGTATCAGGGGTATCAGATATAATGAGATCGGGCTTTGTGCGATCAGTTACTTCAGGTGTATTTACTATTTGAAGCCATGAAAGGCCGCTAATTATCTATGAGCCTCTTATACTAACTATTCTTAGACTTGACATTCCTGATAGGCTTAAATTCCAGGGTTTTCTGATAGTGATATGGACTCGGAATCAACTTAAAATTATCTTAATGGTAATTTATATTTTATATACTGATCTGACGATGCTTACATCTTTTATATCATTGAAATGCAGCTTACTTTGACGAATAATACCAGCGGCCCTTTTTCTTAGCAAAGTGAAGCTAGTTTTAACACCCTAAATACTCATTGTTTAAATCTTGCGTTTTAAACTCTTCCTCCCAAAACGTCTCTGATTTCATTTCATTCCAACACATGGTTCTCTCTCCCTCTCTCTCTCTCTCTCTCTCTCTCTCTCTCTCTCTCTCTCTCTCTCTCTCTCTCTCTCTCTCTCTCTCTCTCTCTCTCTCTCTCTCTCTCTCTCTCTCTCTCTCTCTCTCTCTCTCTCTCTCTCTCTCTCTCTCTCTCTGCATCGCTACCCCTCGCCTCTTTATTCATATTGTGTGAAACCTCCCAGTCCTCAACAATGGACTACTTCATGTCCGTAATACGAGTACGTATGTGTGGAAACATGGTGATATTATTTTTCAACATGGTAATTGGTACGAGACTGTGAGAATGAGATCATAATAATCTAGAACTAATCCTGGCTTTGTCTACGGAAGGATAATTCATGGTAGAACGGAAAAGACACGTTAAAGATGGGACCTCAGGGCCGAAGGGGCTGGAACCGGGCCCGAGGTAGAATTCTAGCACCGATTTGTTAGAAAAATAAAAGGACAAAATCCGGATACTTTTTAGTTTCCTGTGTCTCATTGTTGCACTCGTGTTACAGTACTCTGAAAAGGAGAGAGCTACAAAACGCACCTGTTGCCAAGTCCGTTTACAACATGTTCTGTCACTAAGTAACTAATAGCCGTAGTCTAGACTTAACGCCGACTCCTTACACTAGTACTACCGCCCACTGTACGACGCGCACTAGCCACCACGATGAAAGACCTTAGAACCGCTAGATTAGTCCCCAGCTCCAGCTCTATTCGAATCAGGTCGATCGGACAAAGATAATTCAGGAGGGGTATGGGGAGTATTTAATGTCTCAAAATTACAGCCGATAGCTCGGTTAATCTGTCTGCTGTTTTAAAGGTCTTTATAAGGTTGTTACAACTATCTCTGGAAATTACCGTGAACACGTTTTACTGGTAGGACTTTGTGCAGAAAGTCCGGTTACAGGAGAGGGTTGTAACCGCTTCAAGATTAGAACATGTCAGAAACACTTTATCTGAGCCTGAATAGCCATTATGCTTAGTGAATTGGGATTTACATCGCAAATCCTTTTCATGTAACAGAAACTTAAACACTTTAATTTGTACAGCCCCCTAGAGTCACAGGTGACAGGACACATCCAGGGAAGATGAAAATATAAAGTAAACTACATCTGTCATTCCACGCATCATGAAGCAGCGGGACCACGGTTTACGGTGTAATTTGAGAAATAATCGGTTTTGGAACAATTGTCATTGAATTTCGGATTTTTAATCACATTGAAGTTGACAGATCGAGAGTGAAGTTGAATGAAATGCCGAATAGATTGTGACTCCACCCTAGACCGCCAGATGCTACGGAGGAGGGAGATATCTCTAGACTCTACCTCTTATATTTGAGTGAGGATAGTAGGAGTAGGAGTAAATTCTTGAACTATATACGCGACAATATAATATGATCAATTACTTTACCATCCTCATACAGGTTTGGCGAGTCAAAACGTAAGCTGAATATTTGATATCAAAGGGATGTTTTTTCCCTCATTTAAATATAAGATAGATTATGAAATTACATGGCACTGAGTGGTTGAGCTGGCTTCCTCTTCATCTCCCTTGTCCAGGATCTTAGCCCTTTTCCTCCATTTGGCACGTCGGTTTTGGAACCAAACCTGCACATTTAAACTTGTTAGACATTGATAAAATTGCGCGGTTCTGATATTTTAAAATTTTAACAAAAATAAATATCCTGAAAATATTCAAGGCAATATTTACACTTAGTCCCAATAAATTTGATGTTATTTGTGACGCATTGAGCACGTTAAGTAAACAATACCGCACAAAAAAGTAGGTGCCGAAATGATGCTTTTAATTTGTCATAATATATGAACACAGCGAATGATAAAAGGCTTGCATGCAGTGAAATACTCAAGAAAATATTGACTATTGGTGAGCGCAAGTCTCCGTAACTGGTGCTATATTCAGCCCGGTTTATAAATACGATGGTTCAGGGAAAGGTGGGTGCATATGATCTCGGAACCGAGTACTTCAGACTGTCTGGGTGCCCGAAATAGGGGGAGCCGGCCGACGTCATGGGGCTCGACGAGGTGAATCAACTGGGCATTGTGAGACACAGGCTGACACCATGGCTGGGTTATTTGCGTAGCAGGACATTCCACGCAAGATCTCCACATACCAGGGACCTGACACTTCACAATCCCGATGATATCACCGTGCCCTGTACACAGAAGTAGGTGCGAAGGAAATCAAGAGCAACCTCCTTTGATTTGGACAGTAAAGATAACAGCTAATTAGTGACAGGCCCGTGTGGAAACACGTACTAAGTGGGACATGGTTATACGAAGCTCAGGTCATGATAAGGCCTGATAATCATCTCGTCGGCCAGTCAAAAGGTTAAAACTTAAATTACGGCGAATTGCGAAGTCGTATAAAATCAAACACATAATTTTTAATAGATTTCACAATCACCTGAATTCTAGCCTCGGGGATCCCAAGTCTCAGCGATAGCTCCTCTCTGGTGAAAATGTCAGGATACCTGAGAGAAAATATTTTGAGCATGTGAAATATGTTATCATCAATTTTGAACTGACGCCTCAATGTCGAGTAAATTTCTGGACACACTTAGTAGTGAGGGGTAGTTTTGAATCTGCGTGTATTTTAAAGAACGCTGAGGGGTTTAAAACTGCTCCACTGTTTCCGGTATTCGAAACTTGAGGACTACTTCGGAACGGTAGGTACTTTCCTAGAACTTGAGTGGTAATGGTAATTAAATTTCTAACCTTGTTCTCTGGAAAACGAGTTCTAGTTCGTTAAGTTGAGCAGCACTGTAATTAGTCCTGTTTCTTCTTTGTTTCCTGTGTGGTCCGAAGGAGGAATAGTGGAGGGCAGGATTAACGTCCGGGGGTAACCTGGAAGAGTGGAGGTGGTCAGGGGGTGTTGTGGTCAAGTTCACATTGGGGGGGGGGGGGGGGGGGGTAACCTGGAGGGGCTGTTGTGGTCAAGTTCACATTTGGCATGGCAAATAGGAATCAAAATGATTTCCTGCTGCCTGTAAAACTCAAATTTAGACATTACACAGCCAGGAGGAAAGGGACTGATGATGATAATGCTATGACGAGTAGTTACACACAACATCGAGAAGTTTAGTCCCATCTGTCTGCACGTGACAGATATGCGGCTGGGGACCAGTTACGGAAGTATATTCAGGGTGTGAGGTATTTCTCAAAATCTACAACTCTAAAATGAAAAGGAAGGAAGAGTTTTGATTGTGGGCAGATGACGTACCTATCAGGATCGACGTTTTCAGTGCGCTTATTATCGAGATACCAATCAATGTAAGAACAGACGACAGACATAATGCTGGCAAAGTTTAGTGAAGCATGGATTACAAGTGTCCTATTCAAACCTTCAATTAGTGTCAACCGAGGTGAGCAGATTTTCTCGGAAAATTAGGGTTTTAAACTACACTTAACCACTAGAAATGCGCGGGATTTTGGAAGAGGGATAAGTAGTTCTAAGGGATAAGTAGCTCAAGGTTCACAGATAATCGAGAGCCGAGGCACAGTAAACCGGGATGGTTTTTAACAACACATACTACGAATTCGAAACTTATTGTTTAATTATGATTGTATCTTCATTACAGCGTTTTGAAGCGAATTAAATGACTCAAAAGCAAAAGTCATCTAGACTTGATACCTAGTAATAAAAGACAACGAAGATTAAATAAGTAGTAGTAATATAGTGTAGTTGAACACCTACATAAAGGATGGCACGAGAAAGTTCAGTACATGGACCTAGTTTTGAACTTGGCTTCTAAATCTAATCTGAGGACAAATAAAATTGAGTTAAGACGTTACGTGTACAAGAAACAGTTTAAGTCGGACACAAACAAAAGCGCTTTGGTTGGACAATAGACTGAAAGGTAGGGGACATTTTGAACAGCGTGTGGAGCATGGCAAGCATCAGGAGATTGCATGCATGTAAATAGGGCATCATAAACCGAATCATGGCGGGAAATGGACATGGCATAGAGAGGCAAAGTAAACTGAAGGAAAAAAACAAGAGCCAAAAGCCCAAGAGTTGATGTACACAAATCTAATTAAGGGGTCGTTCATATAATCAGCCGAGGCGGAAGGGGGGTTTCCAATGTTACGCTAGTGTAATTTTGACACAATAGCTAGTTGTAAAACTGATTACGGGGGGGGGGTGTAAAAATGTTAGTGATAACATAATATGTCATCGACCCCTAATCATAAATCTACTAATCGTGATACAGATGAAGAAAAATAATATGTGCAACATTCCGCAAACAATACAGGCAAATTAAAATATATTACCTGTATCCTCCTGGGAGGCCCGGAATAGAGGTGGGCATCTGAAACCGTCCCATAGCACAGGCGTTGTTATTACTCGGCATCAGAAAACCTGGAAACATGGTTGCGTTATTTGGATATTGTGTTGGTTGCATGCATAACTTACATACAAGGGAGCTGGAGGGGGTGGGGGCGGGGCTAGACCAGGCACCTGGGTTAGGTGGCTCAGTAATTGGAAACTTATCCGTGAGAATACGCTCCCACCCAACCAATATCCCCTGGGGACACCCTATCCTGGTGACATCGGAAACTGCACCATGACTCACCCCCAGTTAATACGAACAGTAATTTACTGCATGAGGTATCTGATTGGGTACTGATTTGTGGTGACTAATGGCTCCAATCAAGATTATATATCTATAATGATCCAGGTATGATTGGGTAAGTTTGGTCCGGGAATGATTGGTGTAAACATGTTAAACAAGCTGAGATTATCCGATAGAGATAGGATATCAAATAAATATTAGCTGACTGATAGAATACACCACGTACTTTCCAGTCTCTGGGATTGGATCAGATGAGGTTGAAGTTCTTCAAATGCTATGCTCGCCATTTCAAACTGTACAGGTGTATAATAAGCTAACTATAGAGTATAGAGTCACACAAATGAAAATGAATGACAAAGAAATTTCAGAGAAAATCATAACCGGTTAAACGCAAAATTTGCAATATCGGAAGGTCATCAATACCGGCAAAGAATATGACGGAAAGAAATTAACGATCAAAAATGAAAGACTATGGAGGCTGTTTCCTGTGGAGCACTCTACTTCCGACAGAATCCGCTAGATAAACATCAATTACCGAGCCGGGGTATCATAACAAATCATTACAAGTGTCTATCAGGGGAGACGAAGGTTCTGAGGCGGAGACACACAGTCCCAGCGAATGTGGGGACCGCGGACACACACACACACACCCCCGCACACTCGGCCGAACTACCCGTACCTTGTGACGTCACCACGGAACACGGCCCCTTGCACGGGGTGATCTCGGAAAAGGAACCTGGACCGAGAGGGACACGGGACAGGGAGCAGGCTAATTACCTGGTCATTACTACTGCCACGTCATTACCACCCGCCTGACAGGGCTATAAATAACCCTAGTTTCTTGTGCAAACATTGGACCTTTGCAGACATGGAACTGGATATTGGGTAAACATAATTCCGAAGAGTTATGAGGTACGTTTTTCTCATTTCTGTACAAGAATCAGGTACAAGGGAACAGTAAGGGTAAACATTTTAAAAGGGTGAGTGACAAAGGTGAGAAAAAGGGGCAGAAAAGCAGCGGTTACTTAGCAGCGGTTACTTAGCAGCGGTTACCAGGTTACTTACTGAGGGCGTCAGCAGAATTCAAATGTTCGTACATGGTCATTGGTTAGAGAGTTCGCTAAAACTATAAGTTCATTATTCATTAACACCGTTACATGATTCGGATATATAATAACAAAGAATATAAGAGGCAATGAAATTTTAACCGCGTTGGGGGCAGGCAAAGTCGCTTCCCTGATTTGCATATCACCGGGATTTAAAATTGAGCCGTTTCAAGGTCTCTGAGTCCAAACATCTTAGCGCTTTCTGGGGAAATCCTTCAATGACCAGCAGGACAGTGCTCCCAAACTCCAAAGAGAGTGGTGAATTAATGGCGACTGATATCTAGGAAATTTGGTTATAAAGCCATTATTGATATATACCATCGTATTAACGGCAAACTCTTCAATCAAACTGGCCCTAAACTATTGTTCAAATAAAACTATTAACAGCTGGACGAATTAGATTTATCATCCTGGACAAGACAGTCCAGGTGTGACACCAACCCTAATTTCGAATTAGGAATGCGGGTATCCCGCACCACTGAGCTGGCAACGCAACAGAAAGTGAACGGATATTGCTGTTGCATGCTCACTACGAGCCCGTAATGTATTGAGATTGTTGATGACTTACAGCTCAAAATCAAATTATGATATTTTTAATGGGTCTGAATTCTAATGGGCCTTCAGTATGGAAAGCAAGTGATTAATGGTATTAATATTTATCAGCTTATATATATTAATGTTTTGGTTCCGGTAACGTCTCATTCAGTGGACCAGATCCGAAGTGGTTTACCAGCATGAGCTCATTGAGCAGAATATGATGATATCTATATCATATATTCTAGTGAATACATTTCTTACTTTTATTTGTTAATTATACCTTACTTGGGGTACCAAGCCCCAAAAACATGAAATTTATTTGCTATGATATCTTATTGCATTAACTTATATTATGATTCAATACTGTTGGTCATTGAATTAACATTCAACATGTCCATGAATAATGCACGTGCAATTTACATTCGATATATTACACATTTAATCAGGGGACAAAATGAAATTCGTGGAGTTCAAATTCAACTAGCACAGTGAAATCACAGTGCAGAGAAATGCTTGACAGCAGCTCTCTCACGACTGTCAAGATCACTAATAACAATCGCCACTAAACTATCTGTCACGTGACCCAGGAAAAACGGGCGAAACTTTGTTTTGTTATTTTCAGAGATTCCCACAAGCAGATTATCAACCCAAATAGCATCGTGCCAATAAGATTAGGTTTAAATTTGGCAGTGGGAATGCGTTTAGTGTTAATAACCGGAAGATTTGTCTAGGATATAGTCAAGTTACTGTAATTGACAGTAAGTAAAAATGAGGGAGTCACTGGTAAACGAGATTATGTGTATACCAACATCACGCCCTGCAAGCCGTATATACAATATCAGGCTCAGCGCGGCGCGTCCTTTCTCACGCTCTTCCCAGAGTCTTGGCCGCTGATTGGCTGAAGAAAAGCCCCGTGACAAATCACGTGCAAAACCATGGCAACAGTTGGCTAGAACCACATGACTGAGAACAAGGGGGACATTTGATGAGAAGACATGGAGTCTAGAGGCCCGTGTAAATCAAAAGATGGCCCGGTTTAAGGTACCCCGAATACGACACCTGTCAAACAGCCCAATACCAGGCTTCATGAGGTCTAATGGAGCGCTCTAAACTACTTCAATGAAATTATGCAAAGAGGTCTTAAGGTGATTACTCTACACCAACAAGATTAAACGAGACTAAATTTAGTTAGGTATACAGGATCAGTATAAACGTGTTGAGATGAACGTATAAATCTTGCATTTCGTTCTAGAGTTTCATCGTTTCCTTTGCGGGATGCCTTGTGCTTATAGCCTGTTAAAACTGGAGATCGTTGAATTGACTTACTTGCAACTTCGAGTGTTTCCGTTATGCAAAAATATTTTGTTCTACGATTATATTTCTAAAGGCGCATCCGCAATGACATTAGCCGCCCTAAAGTCAGCGAAAATAACGCAGAAGTTATGACTTTCTAGCAAAATCAGGACGCTTTAAAAAGCTGTAAATTACAAATCTTGAAAAATGGGGCACTAATTCGGTTCTTTAAGTAGCGGACTCTTTCATCCAGAACTGTAAAATACAAGCTTACGCAAATCACCGAATGGAAGAAACAAGTAAATGCCTTGAGGGAAAAGAGTGCTGAGACACGAGAGAATCCGGTTGCTAGGACACCTCAATTTAGTCACAAAACAGCTGAAATTTTCTGTGAACAAGAGACATTGTGGCCAATTAGAAATGTATCAAATTATCCTTAACTCAATTTCAGTACTCAAACAAGCTTCGTTTTCACGGTAAAAACTGAACAAATGAGATATAAAGTTTCTTAAACCCGGGAAGTTGGTGAGGTGGACGGAGCTAACTACAAAACATCAACAAACTAGGGAAACAATATTCCAAATGACTCGACACCTGAAACCAACATGGAATGTGTACAATGAGCGCCACGCTCAATGGACCCTGCACGTGATGTTCCCATGGTTACAGAACGAGGTAGCGACCCAGAGGGGCGGAGCCCCCCACGAGCCCCACTGCTCATTACAAAACCGATGATTTCACAGAGACGTGCCAGCTGAGTGTGTTCAAGTATACTATTTCACGGAATGCACGGTAACCACGGTAACTGCACGGACAAGAAACAATCTCTTTAGACAAATACGAAGGGGGACTAGTGCTCGAGAGTTTCCAGGCTAGTGCTGCAATGAGAAGTGCTAAATTATCGGTTAATCCCGAGTAATGATGTGTCCCCTCGCCTAAGTGATAAATCTGTTGTTAAAATGCAGTTAGCCGATACTGAAAGTGCTCCTCACAGCCAGCATTATTTTACACTTACTTCTCTTTGAGACTCAAATAATTATCGGCTTCCAGATTAATAGCAGAACATGGTGTATGTAGTTGTACGAAGCAATGGACAATAGACAACATCATGAAGGTCATGAGCCTAACTTGTCACAGTATCCCTTTGAACTTTAAACTGGTCAACAGTTTGACCCCCTGCTGGCAATTCCCTCGCTACACAGACACCCCGAACACAAAGACACAGCACTAAATCGTTTGAGGTAAAAGCAAAGACAAGATGTTGGATGGAACAGTTTTAGATAGGTCTGAATAGCGAATACTGTCTCTTAAAACCCAGGGTTAGGGGTTATAAGTTAAAGAGCTGATGCAAGGGTATGGACGATGGTTGGCGGCTGGTTTCGACGAAATCCGCACTGCTCTTAGTTCTACTGCTTGTAATAATTGCTTGCAGTTCTCCCCCATTTGACTTAAGACTGGGCACGTGTTACAATTGACCTATTCATCTAGAATTGAAACAAATTCTACATACTGGCTACACTTCCATCCCATTACATACTACTCAATCAATGTAACAGATTCGTAGTGTTTTGATTGGTTTAAATATATTAAGGAATTTTTTGTGAAAACTTAAAACAATATCAAAGCAGGCACTTAAAGACAAGCTGGCTGAGAGCTGCTTCTAAGGACAGCTTGGTAAAAACAGATTTCCGCCTCCAAACAATAATAAAACATGTTTGATACGTACGTTTGAAGATAACCATTGTTTGATCTCTGAGACTGGATAAAGCTTTGTTTTTCGATTCTCTAACAATTTATGTGATCATTAAAAGCAGCCATTGTATACTCATTTTCCTGGTGACGACCGTTTA